TTTCATAATTATGAGAAAACAAATACATTTCTCAAGACCCAAAATATTTAAGACTGTAAGTCAAAGTCAAGAGTATTGTAGTTAAGCAATATTTATTTATATAACTAGAGGCCTGGTGCACGACATTGGTGCACTGGGAGGCGGGTCCCTCAGCCTGGCCTGTGCCCTCTCACAGTACGGTTCCCCTCGGGGGTCCTTAGCGCTGCTGCAGAGGGGGGAGAGGCTCCCACCACCACTGCTGCACTCGCCAGCTGTGAGCCCACTGGTGAGCCTGGCTTCTGGCTGAGCAGTGCTCCCCCTGTGGGAGCGCACTGACCACTAGAGGGCAGCTCCTGCGTTTAGCATCTGTCCCCTGGTGGTCAGTGTGCATCATAGTGACTGTCGTTCTGCCATTTGGTCAGTTTGCATATTAGCCTTTTATTATATAGGATTACTGAAGCTTGCAGTGTAAGCTTCTTTGAGAAACACCCTATGTCCTCTACATCTTTGAACCCATAGTGCCTAACACAGTGCTTATCTCATAGCATGGCTCAATAAGTAGTTGCTGAATAAATGCAACGTTAGCAGAAGTTCTTGAAGCAATCCTCTTGCTTTATTTTATTCTGATCATATTCAGCTAGAATATGGTTCTTATTTAGTTTCCATTTTAGTTGGAAAATAGAGAAATCAGATCAAATACAAGTAAAAGAAACAAGTTTAGATTAGGGGTTCCTACCTCTGTTGTGTCAAGTAGAACATTTTCTCCACAGGTAGAGCTTTGCAACTGATTGTGGGGGAGAGGGAAACCTATTGAGGTTCAGCTTGGGGGTTTGAGAAAAGGTGGAGAAGGAGGCAATAAATTTGAAAATAAGGAGCTGACCACAAAATCTAAACCATTTTTATCTTTCTTCCTTTCCACCAGAATTTCCTGAAGAAGTAATCAGTATGATCCCCATACCTTCTTCTTCCCTTCCCACACTTCCACATACTTTCAGGTCTTCAATTCTCACAAATTATATACATGGGCCACAGAAATGGAAATTGGACCAAAGTGTAAATTTAATGTATGGAATAAAACAGGATCTAAGACTCTGATTACAACAAAGTTTTAGAGCTCCAGGATAAACTCTTGATTAATAAAGAAAGATGCAAGAGGCAGAATTGTTTGTTTGAGACAAAATAAGATGACATTAGTATCTTAGCTCTCTTAGCTGGAGAACTACTTTGTAAATGGTGCTAAATAGGCACTTATTCCTTCCACAGAAGGACTAGTTTTTGGGTTGGTTTTTTTTGTGTGTGTTTTTTTTAGTGTCAAGTATCTGAAACTGTTCTGGGGCAAAGTAGTTACAATGATGAACAAACTTTTCCATACTTGAGAAGTTTAAAGATTAGTGGGGAATACAGACAAGTTAACAGCCATCTACAAGAAGGCATAATAAATCTTATTATGGGGTGATCACCAGGTGCTATGGGAACATAAATTGGAACATGTTTTTAGTGAGGGGTTAGGAAAGTGTTCCCAAGGGAAATGACATGTTCTCTGAAATCTGAAGAATTAATACAAATTATTCAGGGAAAAGTTTACAGGAAGTCTTCATGGGAAAAGAAAAGAGAATCATGCAGCAGAGAGAACGGCCTTGATGACAGAGAAGAAAGAGTTATGAAGTCCTCCTAGGAATGTATTATGGTTGGATATCATCTGTGAAGTGGAGGGTGCTGGGTAGGCAAATCAGAAAGGGACTTATGCCCCACATGAGAGAGCTGAACTTGACCATGAGGGCAAAGTGGAGGGTGATGACACAGTTGATAGCAGGATGCTGCAGAGTCTGATTCTCATGTTGGAAAGATCTCTCTGGCTATGTTGTGTGGAATGTATGAAGAGATGAAAATGACTGAGCATCTTGTGTTGGGAACTCAGGTAGGAGTCTGGGCAGTAACCTCAGAAAAGAGGGGAGTAATCCCAGACTAAAATAGTATGGGTAGATTAGAAAGAAGTGACTGGAATCCATTTGAAAGATATGTCTGTGGCAGATCAACAAGAGTAGGGGAAAGAACCTAAAGCTGCATGTTAAACAAGCTTTTCATGAATCCAAGACTCTAAAATGTTCAGCTATTCACTGTGGAGTCTCCTTATGGGTTCTTCCTATTTCTAGCCTGTTCTTTTGCCTTCACATCTATCATTGTTGAGTCTCCTCTGCTCTTTTAACAACTGAGGTCCACTCCCCATCTTCGCATACACCCTGGAGGACTGATCTCTCCTATCTCCTTCCCACCTACCTCAATCCGATACATGGCCCAAAGCCTAAGACATTCCTTATGGAGTGGCTTCCTGAGGGCTTCCATTAGAAAGGCAATGATAGCCCTCGACTTCCCAGGGCCTTTGGAAGAATTGATGGCAGATGAGGGAATGGAGGAGGGACTTCCAAGCAACTGGTCACTTTTAAAATCTCATGTCTCTCACCTTCTCTTGATTTATTCTACAGATGGTCCATCAGTCACTGCTGAAATAATTGCATGTGTGGATATACACACACATAAAATGTTTAAACACACACACACACACACACACACACACACACACACCTTCCCCAAAGATTAATTAAATCTCAAAGATATATAGTATATAAAATGATAAGAAAAAAGCTAAACATTTTCTTAACTACCTCATGATTTGCAGGGCACCTCTCTTATACAATAGATTCAGTGTTTTATTTTTTCCTCAGCTTTCAAATTATCCTTCTTCCGTCTTGGCAGGAATAAGAAAGGGCTTGTTGCCGAGTTGTAACACTTCTTCATGGTCACTTTCTAGATATCCAAGCACCCATTCAAAGCTGTGAGGTTACTTGAATGAAAGAGTTCATGAAATTCTTAATAAACATTCATTTGCCTAGGCCATGGTCATCAAACTGCGACTCGCGAGCCACATGCGTCTCTTTGGCCCCTTGAGTGTGGCTCTTCCTAAGCCTTAGGAGTACCCTAATTAAGTTAATAACAATGTACCTACCTGTATAGTTTAAGCTTAAAAAATTTGGCTCTCAAAAGAAATTTCAATCGTTGTACTGTTGATATTTGGCTCTGTTGACTAATGAGTTTACCGACCACTGGCCTAGGGTAAAGAATAGTAGGTAGTTTTATTGTTTCAGATATATCTATCTGTCTGTAGCATTCTTCTAGCTGACTAATAGAAACTGTTTAGTAACAGTGCAATACTGTGGAAAGGACACTGATTAAAGTAAGACTGTGCCTCAAAAATGCTCATTAAAAAAAAATAAAAAAAATAACATTTTAAAAATGTTCATTAACTGCCTGATGCTGAGCATATCTTTTCATTTCTCTGAACCTCAGTTTCCCCATCAGTAACTGATGGGTAACATGGGTTTGTTTGTTTGTTTTCACAATTTATATTGAGTGCATATACAGTATATTATATATATATATATGAAAGTAGCTGACATATAGTGAGTGTTCAAAAACATATTATCTTTAATTCTTGGTTAAAGTTAGAAATCATCTGATACAACCATTAGTTTTTGTAAATAAAATGCTGAAGCACAGAGAGGTGTAAGGTGCACCCAGTCCCACAAAGTGGCAGAGTCAGAAATAGATGCCAAGTCTCCTGATTCTTGCTCAATGTTCTTTCCATTACACCTCCTGGGGTGAGACCGGAGTGTGTGATTAAAGCGATGAAGCCTTTCACTGCAGAATCTGTGCCCCAAGGACGTGTTCCCCTTCCCCAAATGTCTAGGCTAATGCCAGTTCTTTTCAATGTCCGTGTGGCTTTGCCTTGGATGGAAAAGATTTTTTCCAGCACCACCTATCCTATTATTCTGTTTTGAAAGAGTAATCTGTCAGGGACATCAAACATTAAAAGCAGTGGGAACATTCTGAGGTTTGTCGTGTGTATATTTTTTCTCACCGATTAAATCTTCACTCCTCAGCTACCAGACAAAAGGGAGGGAAAGCTGTCCCCCTCCTCCCCTAAAAGGAGAAAAGCTTTTAAAACAGTTGGCAGAATCCACTATTCAAAGTGGAAAAATAAAAATTTCAAGCAACAGCAGACGAAAAAGGCAAAAGTACACATGTGTTCAGGATAAAGTTTGTTTTCTCTTGGGCGAAAATATTGCTGCTTCATGATTCTAAGCTATTATCATTAGAGCCAGACTGTAGCCAGCGATTTTATCAACACCATTCAATGCTTTCCCTAGCTTACCATAATTAGGAAAATAGAAAGTTTTAAGCTGATCTCATCAAATAACAAACACACACACAAAACAACACCTGGCATTGGTAAACATACAGTTTTTCTAAGTAGCAGAGTAAATAAGGAATTGGTACACAAGACTCAAAGTTTCTTCTTTATCCACAGCTGATTCATGGATTGAGATTATCAACAGGACTTTGATATGCTCACCTAGGAAATGACAACCAAAAAGGGCCTAGGCTCTTGGATGTCTCACCAGCAGCTCAAACTCAGTACATTCAAATTAAAATTCTTTCTCTCCTCCACCAACTTATTCTCCCTCCAGTATTCCCAGTCTCAGCAAAAGCACCACCAATCACTGAAGATATCAATTTATTCTTTCCCCCATCTTCTATCTTCCTCCCATCCCAAACGATCTCTTAAGTCCATTCTTTAAATCCCTGAAGTGATTCTGGAATCCACTGCTGCTGTGTTCATTCTGATTGTCATTGTCTCTTAAACTACTGGCACTTGGATTTGATGAATTGCTCCCTTGGAATCTGCTCTTATAAACCTCCAATCCATATTTGTTATGGCAAGCCAAATTACTATTGTAATATAAAAAGCTAATGATGGTTTAAATCTTTCAATAGCTCCCTGTTGCCTTAAATAAAGCCAAATTTTTCATCTGGTCTGGAAGATTTTTCTCAGTATAATCTCAATCCACTTTCCAACCTCCCTCATCACTATGACCATGTAGTTGAAGTGTCAACTGTCCCCAAAGTACTCAGGTTCTCAAAAAAAACCCCCAAAAAACTCCTTGTTACACTGTACCTTCTCCTCATAAGTCCTACATTTGAACCCCATCATTATCCCCCGGGTAACTTTCTCCTTAATCTGAAAGACAAATTCAAATGCCACATCTCAGTCAAGTTTCCATTGATAATCCCCAACAACCTAGTTGAGTCTTTGTATTTCCATACCAGTTAATAAACTGTAGTTATACCAATATCCCAGTATATTATGATTATTTTCTTACTAAGAAACTCTTTGATACATTAGATTGTACCTTCCTTGTACCTCCAGTTTCTAATACAATGTCTGACACAATAGTGTTTGTGATTCAAACTAATTATCCCTCTTGTAGCGATAATAAATATGAATAATTTTCATGTATAATCTCACTTAAACTTCAAGCTATAAGAAAAACAGATTGGTTATCAAGCAATATACCATGACTGCTAAATACATAAAATGTAAATTACATAAGAGCACTGTTTCCATGTATCTGTCAGGCAGTAGGTTATGCAGATCATGTAATAAGCACAGGACAAAGTCAACTTGGTACATACAAAAGCTTTAAAAAGAACGTTGTAATGTAAAGCCAATGACCAAAGAAAGCAAAAGTGCTTTTTTAAAAATGAGAACCTGCAGGATCTTTGCCTTGGAATATATAAGAGGACATAGTCAGGGAAGGACACAGTTCAACTCAAAGAAAGAGTCAATGTTCGAGGGCAACCAAGTGGATAGAATGGTAACCATGGGTGTTTTATAGCACTGTGAGATAGCGTTAGACAGTAGATGTTGTAATTATCACTATCTTGTTTGGAGCCTTTTAATATCTGCAGCCATCTGGAGATGTTAAAAGCTCCCAAAACAGCCACTATTTGAAAGTATGCCTAAAAGGTAGAGAAGTAATTGAGGAAGAATTGCAGAAAGTCATTTTGAAATTGACAGCCTGGATTTAAATCCCAGCTCTGAACTCACTACCTGTGTTAACCTTTGGCAAGTCCCTTTAACCTTTGTTCTAAGATAGGACAGGACCTACTTCAGAAGATCACAAGAGTCAAGCTGAAAGTGCCTGGCTTGGAGTAAGCCCCTATTAAATGTTACCTGCTGTTATTTGTTGATATTATTGTATTATTATGGCCCATAGTGAGACTAATGAGCTAACTTCATTTTGTCAGCTGTCCCTGCCACTGCTGTGATCTCCTAAAACTGATAGTTTAACTTACCTAGTTCTTGGTTCCTCCACTTCCATGAAAATCCTCTATATGGTTCAGAGAAAAAGAACAGAAACCTAAACTCAGCTGAGTTCATTTTTCTTCTCTCTCCAAAAGTCCAAAAAACACAGCCTTGCTATTGTCATTCTCCTATATGTGATTGAAAATACACTTTTGCTGGAAAAATCAAATCTAAATATCTGTGGCTAATAGGTGTCCCTACAGAAGCCTGATGCAAACAGAAAAATCAAGTAATAATCATGATGTTTGTTTGGGTGGTAAAGTAGAGTTTAGTTAAGGACATCTGGTGAAACTTGCAAAACACTACCTGGGGAAGCAGACAGAAGAAAAACACAGGGGAAGAAAATGACAACTCTATCAAAGATACCTACAAGTTGAATAGATTAGGTCTAAGTTTAGGTGCATGAGGCTGACAGGATATATAAGGACACATGAGAGCATTAATTTATCTGACCAAAGTTAAATAAAGATCAAGGCCGAGCCCTAGCTGATTTGGCTCAGTGTATAGAGTGTCCGCCTGCAGACTAAAGGGTCCAGGGTTCAATTCTAGTCTAGGGCACATGCCCGGGTTGCAGGCTCAATCCCCAGTAGGGGGCATGCAGGAGGCAGCCAATCAATGATTCTCTCTCATCATTGATATTTCTATTTCTCTCCCTCTCCCTTTCTCTCTGAAATCAATAAAAATATTTTTTTTTAAAGATCAATGGCCGGAAATCCTATATAATAAAAGCCTAATATGCAAATTGTCCCCTCGATGGGGAGTTCGACTGCTCTCTATGACATGTGCTGACCACCAGGGGGCAGCGCAGAACACGGCAGGCATTGGCAACATGGTGCTGGCAGCAGGCAACAGTGGAGGTGCTGCCAGCCCCGATGAGCCCTGACAAGAGTGGGACCGTGGTGGGATGGTAGAATAGGTGAGCGGGTGGTGCCAGACCAAGGCAGGTGTGAGCGGGACCTGCTGGCCTGGCCGCGGTGGGATGGTAGAATAGGTGAGCGGGTGGTGCCAGGCCAAGGCAGGTGTGAGCGGGACCTGCTGGCCTGGCCGATCACCCTGCGGATGGCAACCAGTGGCAGTTTGGGGGGGGAGGGGCGAGGCACCACCCGGCTCCCAGGCACTGAGGGAGCTGGGTGGGGGCCTGATGACTCAGGTGGAGGGGAGCGTAAGGGGACCTGGGGGCCCAGGTGTTGCCCAGGGCCCAGAGGTCAGCTGGGACCTGCCCTTCCACGCCAGACGGTTGCGCTTCGATTGCCGGCCAGGCCTAGGGACTGCACCCATGCACAAATTTCGTGCACCAGACCTCTAGTGTTTATATGCATGTGGAATTCTGTGGTACATCCATGCTTTGCTTTGACAAGCAGATACTTGTGTAATTTGACTCCCAGGAAGTAAATAGCAGTAACTTATGACTCATAACATAATTGCTTTCATCCAAACATCAGAGTTTGACAGTTGCATATAGTAGGTATTAACACCTGCCTCTTGGGGACATTGTGATAATTAGTGTTTTCAACAATGTTTTGAACTGTAGAAAGCAAGAAACAACTGTAGGGTGATGTGTCATGATTAACAGAACAACTATTATTTATTTTTCTTGTAATCAAGGTCATCTAGTCCCAGGGGCTCCTTTTAACATACCTATTTAAGAATACCTTGATATTCCTCAGCCAAATAAAAGTTTCCAGACAATGGAATTCTTCCCTAAATTCAATCTAAAATCAATATGTTCCAAAATAATTCATGCCTCCTAAACACATTGAGGTCTGCTGGAAATCCTATATAATAAAAGCCTAATATGCAAATTGTCCCCTCGATGGGGAGTTCGACTGCTCTCTATGACATGTGCTGACCACCAGGGGGCAGCGCAGAACACAGCAGGCATTGGCAACACGGTGCTGGCAGCAGGCAACAGTGGAGGCGCTGCCAGCCCCGATGAGCCCTGACAAGAGTGGGACCGCGGTGGGATGGTAGAATAGGTGAGCGGGTGGTGCCAGGCCAAGGCAGGTGTGAGCGGGACCTGCTGGCCTGGCCGATCACCCTGCGGATGGCAACCAGTGGCAGTTTGGGGGGGGAGGGGCGAGGCACCACCCGGCTCCCAGGCACTGAGGGAGCTGGGTGGGGGCCTGATGACTCAGGTGGAGGGGAGCGTAAGGGGACCTGGGGGCCCAGGTGTTGCCCAGGGCCCAGAGGTCAGCTGGGACCTGCCCTTCCACGCCAGACGGTTGCGCTTCGATTGCCGGCCAGGCCTAGGGACTGCACCCATGCACAAATTTCGTGCACCAGACCTCTAGTGTTTATATGCATGTGGAATTCTGTGGTACATCCATGCTTTGCTTTGACAAGCAGATACTTGTGTAATTTGACTCCCAGGAAGTAAATAGCAGTAACTTATGACTCATAACATAATTGCTTTCATCCAAACATCAGAGTTTGACAGTTGCATATAGTAGGTATTAACACCTGCCTCTTGGGGACATTGTGATAATTAGTGTTTTCAACAATGTTTTGAACTGTAGAAAGCAAGAAACAACTGTAGGGTGATGTGTCATGATTAACAGAACAACTATTATTTATTTTTCTTGTAATCAAGGTCATCTAGTCCCATTGGCTCCTTTTAACGTACCTATTTAAGAATACCTTGATATTCCTCAGCCAAATAAAAGTTTCCAGACAATGGAATTCTTCCCTAAATTCAATCTAAAACCAATATGTTCCAAAATAATTCATGCCTCCTAAACACATTGAGGTCTGGTTTTTGCACCATTATCAATAACATTCTTGTTGCTAAATCCATCTAAATACTTCTTAATCCTCACAGCATTTGACATGGTTGACCACTACTCTCTTTCTTTAGCCAATCTTTTTAAAAATATGTTATTTACATGAAAGCATTATAGATTAATTCTTTTTCTTCATCTCGAGTTTCCAAAATTTAATGATTCTTTTTAGGTGACCACCATATCATATTCTTATGGGTTTGGTGCTGTTTTGGAGGTTCACTTTTGTTCATCCATGCCACAGTTTTTGTTTGTTTGTTTTCTCGCCTAGGCCCTGTTCTTTGCTTTCTAGACTCCCTGCTGCTGAGCAGTATCACACATTATGTGATTTCATATGAGAACCACAGACTGCTAAAGGAGCTCAAACAGGACCTAGTCATTATAAAGGGGATACTGTGGGATAGGTGGTATTTGAGTTGCTTCCTTAAAAATATGGTAAAAGAGGGCCATATGAAGTTTCTAGTATAACAGTGAAGTTGTGTTTGTGTAAATTATATCTCTTATCCTATGGTCTATTCCAGCTTACTCTTTATAAAAGAAATGATTTCCTCTGAAGGAAGTTTGTTAATTTTCATTCTAGTATCTCAAATCTAAATGAAGTTCATTTTAAAGAAAAAGATGCTCAACTTATTCCTTGCATTAAAATGTGTTTATCTGATTCAATAAGGCATCAAATTGAAAAGTTATGTGACTTCCTTAGACCATAAGTTTTTTCAAAGAAAAATTCTTCCATTTGGATAGAAAAGTGCACTTTATTTGTATTTCTTATATTCAAAAAAAATGTTGAAACCAAAAATTACACACCTTTTTTATTTTTAATCCTCACCTGAGGATATTTTTCCATTGATTTTTAGAGAGAGTGGTAGAGAAAGGGAAAGACAGAGAGAAACATCGATGTGAGAGAAACACATCTATATCGATTGGTTGCCTCCTACACGCACCCCCACCAGGACCCGGGCCAGGGAGGAGCCTGCAACGAAGGTACGTGCCCTTGACCAGAATCAAACCCGGGAACTTTCAGTCTGCAGGCCAATGCTCTATTCACTGAGCCAAACCAGCTAGGGCTACACAACTTTTTATAGTAAAAAGTTTAAG